TTTTTGTAAAACACAGTGTGACATGCCTGCTATTATAGAGTGATGGATACTATTTAAAAAACTGTTTGGCCAGGGGCAAAGGTAGATTTTGAGTGGGCAGCAACAGATAACAGAAAATCACTTGGAATACATGTGCTAACACTCTACTGTCTCTTCTTTACTTCTAATTTTACAGCGGTCCAGGATCCAGGTGTGGCTTTATGAGCAGGTGAACATGCGAATAGAAGGATGCATCATTGTAAGTGCCAGGATGTACCTGAGTCTCTTGCTTTTCTGAATTTGCAAGTTCTGTTTGCAACTCCCAAATGTAAACGGAGACAGATGCTAGTTCTAAAGGCAGTGCTTAGCGCTGTCTGAAGCAGCGGCCTCAGCCATTTCAACTTAATAAGTCTGTGCTCCTGTAAGAGAAGGTGATTGCAGTTGGTTCTGCCCTCAGTAAGGGCAGGGGAGTTGGATTTAACACCAGGGGAGTTAGGTGACTAACTGATTTTGTTGTTGGTTTTTAGGGTTTTGATGAATACATGAACCTAGTACTGGATGATGCTGAGGAGATTCACTCCAAAACAAAGTCAAGGAAACAGCTGGGTATGTTTACAGTTTAAATGATGGGCCCCAAACCTGTCGAGATGAGCCTTGTGTGGGGCAGCAGTTGAAATGCAGACGTATTAAAAGCTTGGGCCGAAGTCCAGCAAAGGCTGCTGTGAAGATGCTTGTTCTTGCTGTTTGCTATAGGATAACAGTGCTGGGGTCAGATGTCTGATAAGTATCCCATTAGATATGCACAAGAAGTCCAGAAACTAGTCTAAATCTTTAAAGAGGCAGGTAAATATCGTGTGCTTCTCTGCCTCCTTTGTTACTAGGATGGCCAGAGAAACCCAATCTGATCTCTGCCACATTCATCTCAGTCCTGAGACCCTCCAGCTCTCTGTCTTACTCTTTCAAGTGTGTGTTTCCAGAGTCAGGGCAGGGAACTATGACTCTCACTGTATGCTTGTAGTTGATATTCACTGCTTGCCAGGTGCCAAAGGTAAACAATGAATCAGGGGTAGCTGGGGTGCCTTTTATCGCAGCACACTCCCTTATACAGGAGGAAATTGGTGTACTAGCTACAGATGGTGTTCATGTGCACCGATATAATGAATTGTACCTTTAGATCGTATACTGCAGAGAGATGAGTACCACAGACTTACAGGCATGGAGCCCTGTGAAGCATGCAGTAGCAGTACGCCTGTATATTAGTTCAGTTTGCTGTAACAGAAACCTTTGCGATCTGAACCCCGTAGCCTGTTGTTTTGCCAATGTCAGCAGAAAGACGAGGTACTTGTTTTGTGGGCTTTGTTCTGCAAAATTTTCTGCTATTAGTGTCCTCTGTGAAATGCTTTTCCAGATACCCTTGTTCTCAGGCTATGCCACTCCTGACCACCTTCTCTCTCTGTCTTGCAGGTCGGATCATGCTAAAAGGGGACAATATTACTCTTCTGCAAAGTGTTTCTAACTAAAATTTTTGTCATTCCTTGGGTGCTTGCTGTTGTAAAAAGCTGATGGGTGGATACTTTATCTATGTAAAGTTCTGCTCAAGTGTGCAGAATCCCTTATAGAGCTCTTAGGTTCTTAACTTGTGAATAATGTTTACCTTTTCCTTGCAAGGGGTGATCAGCAATTGCTGTGTTTCATAAATAAAACTTTGTTTTATGATAACTGTGACCATACATTTATTTGACTGCTCTTATATCACTTCCTTGCTGTTTTGTGTATGGAAAAAAAAGTCATTCACCTCACCCCATTTGTTCTGTTCAGCTTATAAGGGGAAAATCTTTGCGAATTCTGGAACCGCAAACGTTAATGTGGGCTCTGTTAGACAGCTGAACTGTTCAGCCAACGTCCTGGAGCCACTTGTAATGCTCTGACTGTTGTGATCTAGTAAAATAACGGTTGATGTATCTAGGTATGTGCTGCTGCTGTCATCTATGCGTCTGGCATAAAGCAGTCCTCTGCAGGGACCTCCAAGTAGGGGGAAATTTTAAATCCTTTGCAGTGTATTAGGTAAATATTTGCCTGGGAAGGTTTAAACAGAGATGTGCTAGCCTGGAGGTCTGGGTCAGGGGCCTCAAAGGTGCCATACTACACCTATTTTATCAATATTGCTTAATCCTGCTTGTGGAATTGCTATTACTCTCACATTGCAGTGGGGATAATAGAGCAAGCAGAAAGGTTCAGCAGTGAGCCAGTGGCACGAGAGAGTTGGTGTCAGAGCCAGGATTAAAACTTGATTTCTAGTTTTCTGGGCAGGCAAGTAAACCTTACCTTTATTCAGATACCCTAAAAATACCAGACCAGGCCAGCTGGATCTTTCAGAAATGTTTTCCGTACTCTCTAATGTGTTGATGCATGATCTCCTTGAGTGAGAATCTTCTGGATGCTTTGTCTGAGGATCTGCTAAGTGTTTATCTTTTGCTGTTCTTATGATATTTCCTAGGTCTGGGCCTAGTTTAGGGAGGGGAGTTGGGGTGGAGAGTCCAGCCATTTGTGCAGTTCTAGTCCCTGAATGCTTCCTGCATTCTTACCTGCAAGACCCCATGTGATTTGTTGGACTTCAGTAACAATCATTTGCTTAGCAATAAGTTATTCAATCATAACCTGAAAAGTAGTGAAAAGGGGAGGGAAAAACCCAAAACATTTGTCTCTGCTAAGAACAATATATTAAATGCAGAGCAGTAGTGAAGACATTGAAAATATTTACTATATTTTGGACCAGTCTGGAACAGGTTACTGGAAAAGTTTTCCCTTTCAGATAAAAATAATTTTGTTTGCTTTCTGATACTTCATCCCAGGTGTGCGCATGCACACATAGGTTGGTGCTTCATTTGGTTTAGTGGAAGAGAATTTTGATGCTGTTCCAGCACAGATAACCCAAGGCTGTTTCACCTGTGCCCTGAGCAATTCTACAAGATAGTGTAACAAGTATGCTCGACTAGAAACTATGATGGCTGAGTGTGACATCCTGGTGTGGCAGCTGGGACAATGGTGCCTGCTAACGAGTCTTGGTATCTCCTTTTGCAAGTTTCCAGGTGCAAAGAGTAGTAAATCAACCACTACATCTCTTTTGCAGTTACTGATATAGGTAGGATTAGCACTGTTCAGCCACAAATGGGTATGTACAAATTAAATAATAGCTGACTAGCCTTGCATCTAGTCTCCATTTTATCTGCTATGTTTAGCTGAATTAAAGTTCTGCAGAGCAGAAGGTAGACTAGTTACTGTCTAGTGCAAGCATTACGTATTGATTATGCGCGTTACAGGTTTACATGTTACAGTGCCTGGAAGTTCAAGCTGACCACATCCGTATCTTGTTAAAGGCAAATCAAGACAGTGATAATTCTTTATCCAAAAAAGTCAATGGAATGTTTTTGGAGGTAGTTGTTTTTCTCTCCGGGAGAAAGAATGTGTCATAGAAGGGTAAAGAAAAGCAAAATGGTGAGAGAATGCAGAAATCTGGAAAAGGTATTTTCCATAGGAACAGTAAAAAAAAATACCATGGGCTCATCCAGACTGAAGTGCATGTGCATTTTCCCAGGAACAGTTAGCAGCAGCACATTTGTGCCACTGCAAGTTGTCCTTAGGGAATGCCCCTGTACGTGCTGCTGGGAGCAAATTGCCCTGGGTGGGGTAGGGGAGGCTAAGATCAGCACCTGGGTTGGCCCCAGCAGCCTTACCTGTGGTCCTGGTGGCCTCCTATGGCTGCGCTGCTGCAGCAGCAGTGTTCTAGGTGTGTGGAGCCTAGTCAGCAGGTGGAGCATGGTTCTAGCTGGCCAGACTCCCAGTTGTGCACTTTTTTAAAATTTGGATTTCCTGGTATCTAAATTTGTCTCCCTCCTGCAAATATGCAGTGTGGAGAAACAAATCATGTGCAGGGTGCTTTTTGTGGAGTCTCAATAGCCTTTTGAGCACTGCAAAGCTCACATGCGCACTTGTGTGGACGGACCCCATAACTGCAATCAACACAGAATCAGCACCTAATAAACAGGATCAGTGACATAAAATTGGTTCAGTGCCTCTGGCACTTTGTCCATTATATCTGCATCAGGAGTGCAGTTGTTTATCCAGAACCAGAGCAGTAAAAGCAGTAGCTGCTGGCTCCTGGTCCTATATTTCAAGAGGCTGCCTGCAGCTCCCCTGCGGCTAGATACAATCAAATAGGTGGGGATGAACTCCAGAGATGCAGAGTCAGCCCGCAGGGAGGAAGGAAGTGGACTGATCAGCTCTGACGTGTTCAATGGCAAACTACGCAAGGGCGCTTGAATTGGCACTGCAAGTGGGAGCTGCAGCAGTAATGAGTAATTAGACACTCCCCAGTTGGAAGCATGAAAAATGCAAAGCCTGGATGAGGGTGTGCAAGCGTGCCTGTGTTCAGATTGGGAAGGGGAACAGCCTGGCTGTTTGTCCAGCACCTAGCACAGTGGTGTCTTGCTCTGAATGGGTGGCCTTCAGCCCTACTTGAAATGCTTGTTCTGTGAAGGGTTTGGAACTGGCTTACTTGAAATCTCACAGCTGATTTAAGTCATTCCAGTTGTGCTTGCTTTTTATTTTTGCTTTTCGCACGTCCAGACTCCCCTCTTCTAATTTTCTAAACAAAGCACCATGTGCAGCACAGGGATGTAGGACTGGGGCCTCAGTTTCTGAGTTTGTTTTCTTGCTTTGCACTTTACCATTGGCTTTAAGCAGATCACTGCTTCCACTTTGTACCCCCTTCTATAAAGGGAGTCCCTTGGCTTTATTTTCTTCTCAGAGGTAGGGAAGTGCAGTGGCTCTGAGATCCCACCAGGGTATCTTACATTGGTGCATGTCCATCTGGAGACCCAGCTTCAGAGTGAAGTTGCTGCTTCATGCTCCTTCCACCACTTTGGACAGCAGAGGGCACTGCTGTACCCAGCAACTCCCCTCCATGGCTGTTGCAAAGTGTCATCAGCCTCAGCTGGAACAGAGGAGTTCCCCAGCATTCATGCAGCTTTATTGGCTGCCAAACATCCTGGAAAAAAGAGCGAGCCAGCCTGCGGAGTGTGGAGCTGCCCTCAGAGCAGCAGCCCAGCAGCCTATTTCCTCGCTCCCAGACCCTCTCTGGCCCATCTGCGCACTGAGACCTGAGATGTAGGAGACCAGGCGTGGACGGTTCGGCTAGTGACTGAGCAAGTGGTGGGGATAAGGCACGAGGTAGAGTGAACTCTTACAATTGGGCTTTGTGTTTAGAAAGCTCCTGTTGCCTTTCTGCTCTGCTGAAGCTGGTTGTGTTTGCTTTGTGCCTTGGACTTTTGCGTAGCATGCAAATTCCTTTCCTTCAAGCTGTCGCGGTAGGTATGGACCCCTGCAGAAGATGCGCTGCATTTTATTAAGGCTCCCGACATGAGCAGTTAACTCTGCAAGTGCTTTGGGGGCATGTGGACTATTGTAGTTGAATTATTGTAGCTGATTATTGTACTTGCATGGAGCAGTCGGCGTGTTGTGATCTCTGTCTAGACCCAGGGCTCCAGCACTACGGCAGTAGGTGTAGACAGACCTCCAGCCGTTGTAAGCCCTTCCTCCCTGCTGGGATCCTTCATAGAAACTGCACTTACAACTTGTCTTTATTGGCAAGAAATAGTTCAGGGCTGTAAATGTGGCTGGCACTTGGCACGTTAAAGTAGTCAAGGTCTCTAGGACTCTGGTGGCATTCAAGGGCAGGGGAGACGAACTCCTTGTCTGAGATGGTTTAGACGGGGAGGATCCTGCCTTGAGAGCCGGACTTAGACGTGACTTGCTGAGGGTTCCTTCCAGCCTGGGTTTGCTCTGATTTTGCCTTACAGAGTTTGAAACCTAAGCGTGGACAGGGGGCAGGTGTCTTAAAGCACAATGGAGCATCCCTGGGTGTGTCCCTGGGATTGTCCGTCTGTGCTGGAGGGTAGGTGGTCTGGGGTGGGATGTTGGCATCCCATGCTCTGAACTGGGCCAGCCCAATCCACTCTGCTTAAGAGCCTGCTGCTCCCTCCTGTGATTAACACTCGGTGCTGCACTGAGGGCGTCTTCCTTTCACAGCCCAACTTGATCCCTGTTGGGTTTGATCCTTTGGCTCTGTGGCCATAGGTTCCCTTAGCGCTGCCATCCAGCTGAAAGCGCCGCTACCCTCTGGTATCCCAGAAGGGGATGGAGTTCAGCTTCTCTTTTTAAATGTTTCTTTTCTGAAGGAGGCTCCATGGAGACTGACGCTTATCGTGCCCAACAGAACTTGGATCAAAATCTCTGCTGTTCAGGGGTAGATTTTTCTCTCTTTGCGGCCTTGCAGAGACACTGGTGTGAATAGCCAGCTTTGTTTTTGCACAGACAATATGCTCAGTGGGTCTATTCTGTGCCTAGGTAAGTAAGTTCCATTGTGATTCTTTGATATGACCCCTGAGATTCACACAGGAGCTTTTGTAGAGGCTTGAACATAAACCTGCAGATGGTAAAAATCTCACTGGTGGCAATGGGAGGACAGATCTTACCTGTTCATATTTTTGAAGCAATGAGATGGATGAAGGAGTGTCGTGCCCATGACCAAGGGTGGTTCTGTGTATTTGTGTGTGTGTGTGCACACGGGTGTGCATGCACTGCTGCCCTTTCTTGCTGCTTTTTGCAATGTGATCAATCCCAGGGTACAGCATGGGATACTTTGGCATAAGCACAAATAAAGGGAATGGAGGAGACTGTGTGTGGCTGCCTGCTGATCTTGGGTAAGCTCCAGCATTTAATTAAACCCACAAGTGCACAGGGCAGAAGAATCAAGTGGTTCAGAAACAGCCTGTCTCTCGGGGATGGTGTCTGAAGATCAGAATCGCTCTGGGTGAACAGGATCTGGGGATTTGTGGAGTGCACCATCCCATTTCAGCCGGCTACCTGCTCACAGCATCCATGGCACAGTGATTGCCCTAAAGCAGGTGGCCACGATGCTTTGAAAATCCTGTGTGTATAGAGGCTCTCTGACCTGAGGCTACAAACCTGAAAGTCTGAGTTCTGTTCGTCACAGCTCCGGCACCAGATCTGGAGAAGCAAAGCCATGATTTTGGTGGTGACTGAGTGGGGCACCTTGCAGTGATGGGTTGAAATAATAGGGGTTCAATATGGGGCTAATTGGGGATCTTGTAATAAGAGAGGCTTCCCCGCCCAGCACACAAATAAATGATTTTTCCAACCCAAATTCCCAGTGCCAAAGAGCTTTTTCAGAAACTTTCTTAGCTCAAAACTTTTTGTCAACACAAAAAAAAAATCCAGAGTTGCTGGAACTTTCTGTTTCAAAATGAAACTTTGGGTGTTTCCCAGTCGAACCTCGCTTCAACCCAGATGCCCTTTCACTTCCAGCAGGCTGGCAAGATTTGGAAGTAGTCCATGTGCATATGAAACGCATTTGTTGGTGACCTGGATGGAGCTTTTTGTTGTTTTGGGGGTTTTTTTGATTCCCGAACAACCTTCTTCTGTTGGTTGAGGATGGAGGAAATTTTTCAGAATCTCCTGTTTTCCCAAAAGCGTCAAGCTCTTCCTTGCGTGGCTGTACAGAGCAGACACCTTGTTCTCAAAGCGGTGGCAGGTAGACCCCTTGGGAGGAAGGAATTTTGTTCCTCCTTCTGCAAAGCTCTGGTCAGGGTCTGGCCCAGGGATGACAAAACACCTGGTCCAGAGGCTTTTAGTAGTAGCCCCCTTAGAAGCTGCCCAGCCCATTTGTTCCCCTCATCATGTGTTTTCATGTTCCTGCCCACCAGGGGTGGCCTTATTTCCATTTGCCACATTACTGGGACAACTGAGCTCTGGGCATTTTGACAGTCTGTAAGGGTCAGTGTGTCATTATGTTCGCCCCATTGATGCGTGAGTTCAGGGTCACAGCCAAGGGAGGGACCAACATCCCATCCTCAGCTGGGGAGCTCTGCCAGGCAGAAAGAGCACTCCTGGACCATGTTCTGAATAGGTGCACAGGCCCCCTCGTACCTGGAGCTCAGCTTGCTCTATATATTTTATTTCACTTGGCTTCGTATAACTTGGGGCAGCAGGTGTGCACCCAGGAGGACCCACCAAGGCACAGGGCCGTCAAGTGGTTTGGTCCAAGGGCTCTCGGCATGTCTGGTTCTCAGTCTCCTACTATGACAGCCAGGCCACGCTCTTTCCCGAGGAGTAGATTTGAACCCAGGCCTCGTGACTAGACCCTAGACTAGCAGGCTGGAGTCCACACCCAGGCGCCCTGCTCCAGGTGTGAGGCTAAGCAGAGTTAAGGTGAGGAATGGCCTCCCTGCTGGAAGAATGAGCTGATGCTAACAGTAATCCCTGCGTGTCCGTGGAGGGTTTTGCCAGTGGCAACAGTCTTTCCACTCAGGTCGGTAACTGGGACATGGTGAAACCAAAGCTGCAGGGAAGGCTGCAGCACGCTGCCTTAGGCTGAGTGCTGGATGCATGCATGCTTTAGCTTGGTGAGAAGTATTTTCTAGGGAGCAGATGCCAGACTCCTGGGTTCTGCTGCAGGGTCTCGGGGAGCTGTGCGTTCAGTGGTCCTCCTTGTTGCGGGGCTGGAGCTGAGCTCTCCTGACAGGTCAGCCCCTTTTAGGTGAGTTGCTTGGGGAACGCTGCTTCTCCCTTGGATTTTTGTGGTTTACTGTGGGGCAGTAGCATCAAATCATGCCCCAGGGGCTTGAGTGGCAGTGGGTGAAACCCCTATAGTACCAATCCAGGTAAGAGCAGCTGGCAGGTTTCTCGGGGAGCCAGCACAGCCAGGTCCTTACCTCTGTACAACCCAGCTGAGAAGGGGAGCTGTTTGACAACGGCTGCCACCTCCCAACAAAGGTGAGCTGTGTCCTTCCTGGACACCATGTCTGTTGGAGGCCTCGCACCCTCCCTTTCATCCAGTTTCTGGGGCTTGCCTTCTGCAGGGGCTGTGTCTCGGCACCTGCCCCATTGCCAAGGTGCAGCTGTCTGAGCAGGCACCGGGCGGCTGCTTCAGCTGGGCTTTTAAGTTCTCATTGCAGCAGGTCGCATCATCTGCTCCCTTTAAACGGGCTTTGTTCCTGCCGGGGACATGGCACAAAGTATTTCAAAACACCTCCCCCCCAACAAACGCCAGCTCTCAGAGGCTCATCCCTTTATCGTACATCAACAACAGAGCTAATATTCATGTCTAGGAAGTGAGATGCTATCGGAGCCCGTGTTGGGCTCCGAAGTGGGTGTATGAGGCGTGCACGGGTTTGGTGGGTGAGGGAAAGGGGGCTGTGGCAGGAACTCTTTATCAGAGAGGAAATGGCACTGTATTTGGGTGGGAGGGGGAAAGTGCTCTGTGTGGCTCCCTGGCAAGGGGGGGTTAGAGACTCTTGAGTTCAGGGTAGACTTGTCCCCCATCGGACTAGCTCAGTCTGCTGCGCATGCCCTGGAGCCCGTTGCGATGCAGGTTGGGGTCATTTAGCCAGAGGCTCAGGTTATATCCAACATTTGGAGGAGATGGTGATTCAGAGCAGGAAAACACCCCAAATACTGGCAATGTGGAGACCAACCGTAGGCTGGCCGTGCCGTGGTCATCAGAAATGCTCCTCAGGAGCTTGGTGTTCTGAGAACTCGCCAATTATTACAGTCTCCCATTGGGCACAGGTGCAAACTGAGGCAAGACAGAGAGTGACTGGCCCATGGTCACCCAGTGAGTCAGTGGCAGGGTGAGGTATCCAGGCTGCTAGACTTGGGCTTTGTCCCTCTTCCGCGCACTGTGTGGCATAATGATCCCCCTGAGATGGTCCCCGCAGCTCCCTTTGAAACCTGAGTTCAGTCACTTTGGAGGCAAATTCTACCCCAGCTTTTACCCAGGAGAGATGCTGAGGCAGAATTCAAACCAAGCTGTTTTTATCTGCTGAGACCTTGTTCCTGGTCTTGATGCACAAAAAATACCTGGCTCTTGCCCTGTGCTTGTACCCCACTGGAAATCTCAGCTTCTCTTGGGTGCTGCCATCACAAGACCTGCAGTAAGACGGGGACAGAGGAGAGGGCCGATGTGTGCATCGCACACCTCCGCTTGCTCTGGGCTGAGAAGTTATGACATCTGAGAGGCTTTCACCTGAGCAGGAGGTAGGCCGGACATTTGCTGTCTGCAGGAGAGAGGCCTGGGAGCCCAGGGCTGTGCGTGAGAGTGATGTGGTGGGCACCGCTCATCGCTGGTGCCCATTCCTAATGTGCTCTGG